GAAATACTGAAACTAATTAGCTTAGTGTCTGTTTATTGCGGTGAATAAATGCAGTAACTATTCATAGTAACAAAGGATGCATTGAAATAACAGTGCAGCTTTGAATTTTCATCTTAAACGTTTCAAGCAGGGAAGCAGGAGCTAAACTCCGTCGCCTTCTTCTTTACACACAAGCTACAGTAAACAACAGTAAATATAAGTTATGCTCGATCGATTTCAAACTTCCAACGAGGCTTGAGAGCCCCTGCTGCTGTGATACCAGGTTTAGCGCGTATGCGGTGCATATCGGTGGGTATAAGCCGGACAAGATGATAGATTTCTGTGCTCGGCTCGGCTCCATTGTTGGCTGAGGGGGAGGAGGAGGGTGAGGAGGAGGGTGAGGAGGAGGGTGAGGCGAGGGGAGATGTGCAGCAGACAGAGGTGGGTGTCTGCACTCACAGCAATCTCAGACAGAGGCTGCTTTCAGGAGAGCCAACAAGTGTGACAAATTGTTTTTAGTTGACCTCTTTTAAAGTATAGTGTGCTGCAGCGTGTAGAGGTGGAGGTGGGCGGCGCCGTGCAGACCCAGATCAAGCTGCGACCAGGTGGAGGCAGGAGGAGGAGGAGGAGGAGACCGGACTGGTACCTGACTAACATCTAGCTTCAGCCGGAGCTTCTCCTGGAGCCGTGCGTGAAAACATGGAGTGAACTGAACTTTTTTCTTCCACAGTAAACACTTCCCACGGAGCAGCTTAAAGCCGTCATCAATCAGCATTACATCCAGGATTTATTTAACATTATGAATATAAAGCACCTTCCCGGCTAAGAGTATTTGTATTCATTAGGGTGACAGGTATTACTATATAATTTCCTATTTTTCTCTTTTGGCTGGCTGGTGAGGAGCGGGGAGGTTCATCTGAGGAGAACAAGAGTTCTCCTCCTAATTCGACTTGATTCCATTTTTCAAAAACAGTTTTTTTGTTGTTGTTGTTTTTTTGCTCCACCTCACTTCATCATTTCCGATGGATTTCCTTACTAAACAGAATTCTTTGAAATGCTTCGCTGCTCTCTCCAACAACGTGCTCCCAGACTGACTTTGTTTTCACCTCATCTGCTCTTATTTGCTTCAGTTGTTTCTGTTTATTTAGTTTTTTTGATTGTTTTTTCTCTCACAGCCTTCGTGGCTTTTAGACGTCGGTGAGTCACTAATAAAATGAAGATTGAACCTCTTACTGTCCATCTTTCTTCATGCAGAGGAGAGAAGATTTCATAAAATTATTATATAGGTTTAAGTCTCCTTTGATGTCTACTTTGTGCACAGAGCTTTAAATTTGGTGCTCATGAAACTTGAGCTCCTTTTATTTTGTCGTTTGCCTGTGAAGGAGGCTGCAGGTAGCTCAACCTCCTCTGCATCCAGTCACAGGTTCATGCATCGAGCACAGATCGGATCTGTTACAGGAGGTGAAGACGCAAGCAATCATCTGTCATGAAGCATCAAGTAAAGAAAATGTGATTTTTTTGTGCATTTTTAAGCACATGAGAAGAGCGACATCAGGTCAAGACGACAAACAGAGCGAGACACAGGATCCAAAACTTTTACATTTATTGCCGTCTACAGCTCGTTAATTGCCGTCTTTGCTCCCTCGTTACGGTTCTTCTCATTTCATTTGTTGTTTTTAACGCACTTTGTAAAGTCTGTTTTGAAATCCGTGCAACAGAAATCTGATGTTTGACAGCAGAGACCGAGGCATCGAGGACAATAAACAGCCACAGCAACACGACGTGACGCAGCAACGGCGTTATTGTACAACTTTAACAACCCGACTCCATCTGTAAAAGTTCTTCTTGTTTCCTTCACAGGTGCAGACAGACTATTAAAGGCGTGTCCATTTATTAGGCTCGTGCAGCCCCCTGCAGGTCACGGAGGCAGCGTTTTTAGGATTTGCGTTACGCTGCGATGAGCTTTACATTCCTTCTGATGTATGTTATCTGTAGGTGTGTGTTATTTAAGCTAGGTTATAACGCTGACAGTTTAGAGAAACGATGTGACACTTGATGCTCATTATTGAGTTTCACCGGCTGATCTCTAACAGCATCCAGCTGCTGGTTGTGGACACAGCTGCCTGGATGTGTTGGTGGAGAAGTTGTGGCTCGATTTATTGTTCTGTGGTGCTGCTTCTCTCTGAACCCGCGGTGCTTCCATGACAGGTGTGTTTGTTTATTTACAAGTTCAGGAAAGCTTCAATCCAGCGCCCAGCCAGCAAAACCATCACTGCAAACACACACACGCTGCTGCTGCATGTAGTCAGCGATTATCAATGAATATAGCACACCATCGTCATCATAACATCGGCTGCAGCCACAGACGACGGGGCTTTCTCTCTGCAGTCACACCTGTATGAGCTTAATGTGATTCTCTATCATACAGCCTGTGGAGCACTACACCCTCAGCTGTGACTGTCAGGCACAAGGACTAAAAGCAGAGGAGCTGGTTCAGCAGAGACAGCCTGGATGACTGCAGCCTTGGGACGACAGCTGCTGCGGTGAATGTGGCCGTAGCCGTTGTTACGATTATGGCTGAAGTCCGAACAATAACCATATATCCAGCCACGGCTTCACCATCGCAGCCAGGAGGAGCAGCTGCTGCTGCGCTCGCCGCCAGCAGCTGGATACTGTCGGAGAGCGGCCTTTTAAAATGAATAATGAGCAATAAATGCATCAGTGTCACATCAGCTGCCCTTTCTGTAGCGTCTGCAGTGTGTTTCTGTCCACTGCTAGTGCATTATAAGTGAGCTGGACCAACACACGGAGAGTTCGGATGGATTATAAAGCATATGGAAGGCAATGCAAAAGGCTCCACAGTGAAGCCCAGTACGTCAGACCCATTCCTGCCTTTGTGAGCACTCAGACTTGAAGCTGTGGCTGAGTTTCATGGCCTGAGGTGTGTTTGGTAGCGGCTCGGTGAGACAAATTGCGAAGCTGCTATTAAATGAAATTACAGAACCCGGCCCTGATTGTTTCCTTACACTGTTTTGTAATAAACTCCTGCGTGGACTTGCTCCAGATTGTTTTTCTTTGGCCCATCCATAAAACTTGAATGAGAACATCTCGGACGCACACTGTGTGCGCTTGTAGCTTGCTGGGACTCTGTCTGAACCGTAGCTGTTAAAGCTGACGTGAGGTAAGACCCGACCGCCCACGACCGCCGGGCTGCTTCCGATCCGCACTTGCTCCGGCGTTCATATTCACCCACACACACACACACACACACACACACACACACACACACACTTAACGTTCACTGACAGCTGCATAGAGGAAGCTGCCTGTCTTTATCATAACAGTGTAGAACATCATCCTTTCTAAACTGATTTCTATAATTTGATAGATGTCAGATGCATTAATGCTGCAGCCTTACATACTGTATATGAATTATTATTAAATAGTAAAATGCTCCGATTCCAATCTGAAGCTGTGTCTACTGTGTCCATCCTCACATATTCCAACCCATGCGTCTGTTTACTCACTTGTGGGACTTCTTGCCCTCCGTACCCCCGGGGCCCGAGCCGCAGTCATGAGCCTGGATGATGAAGGTGTACTCCTTCTGCAGCTCACAGTCAACCAGGCCACGTGCCCTGAGCTGACCCTCCCCAGACGTACCGTTCAGCACCACTGCCTCGAACGGAGCCTCCAGCCCATGGATGTTGAACGCGCAGATCTCCCCTGGAGAGCGAGGGAAGGAGAGAGGGAGAGAGAATGAAGGATGAGGTCAGTGTTAATCACATCCTGTCCGGCTGAGTTCAGCTGAAGAATATGATGTGTGTGAATTAGGTTTAGAAAAGGAAGCAGCCTATCATAACACAGTCCTGTGCACTGCAGCTGCCTTCCTCACTGGTCAGTCGCAAACGCTTCAGACGCTACAGACACACGGTAGATTCATATCCGTCATGCAATACCAGCAGGTGAGGCACCTGCAAACCCAGAAAACCCCCCAAAGAAGTCCTGGAGCAGATGGTTTGTCCTCCTCAGAGCCCTGATGGCAACATCACGGAGTCAGTGGGGGATTAGAGAGACAGAAGACCGACTAAACCCACAGAGGAGCTGTGGCAAGTTCTCCAAGACGCCTGGAACAACTTAGCTTCACACCTTAACTTTTTAAGGAAGAAAAACCTCTTTCTTACCAATTTTCCCAGGCAGTGCTGGGATTCATGGCAGCAACTTTAAGCAGTAAAGGCGTGTTACCTCCGGAACGCTTCTACGGAGTCTGCGGCGAAGTTTATGTATGCTGGACGAAAGCTGGACCGGGATAAAAGACGTTCATGCTCCAGTCACCTTGGGTAATTTGTATTGCCACTTTGGAGTTACGTATGTGGAGAACAAGCCAACAGGAACAACAACAACAGCAGAAACTCACACAGGAGCTTTATAAATAGATCAGGCTCACATTCCCACCAACGCACCTTCTTACTTACTTAATTGTTCTTGTGAAAAGCACCAAGGACGTTCCTGCTGTTTGCCCACCCAACATGCAGACATCCCCCCCGACAAAAAAACCCCCAACATACAGCACAATTGAGTTACACGGGGCTCAAATAAAACGATGACAGCTCAAAGTCACCCTCGTGGAGAGATATAGAGGAAGAAAATCCATTTAAATCCAGAGTTAGCAGCTGACAAGAGCAAAACAAAAGAGCCAAGAGACGGCTGACATTTATTAGCGGGAGCGTGTGAAGAAGTGGTCCATTTGTGGAGTTGGAGAAGGAGCTTTTTTTTTTTCTTTTTTCATGGAGAATTGACATCCCTTTGCGCTTTCACTAGTGGGATTTGAGGAAATCACTTAACGCACGAGGCTCACACTCTGACCTGTGACGGCTAATTGCACTGATATCACTTAAACTAACAGCAAAGACTAAATTGGATTCCCAAGCAGCTTTGTGTGCGCGTTGCTCCTGGCAAGTTCTGATAAGAGCAACTTTATTTTCTACCCTTTCTCTCCCCTTTCATCCTGTTTCTGTCATAATCCCCACCACTGCCTCACCTCGCTCCCACCCGCCCCTCACCCTCCCTCCCTTGCCGTTGGGGCAGGGGCTCTGAAATGACAATTTGCCCACAGAGAAGCTATAGGCAAAATGATGAAGAAAGAGCAGGCGGAAGGGAAAGGGAGAAGAGAAAATGAGAGAATTGAGAGTGGGGGTGTCGACACTGTGTGCTCCCTGTAAAGACTTCCCCCCTCTGTATTGCCTGAACAATGACTTATCAGAGTTAAATGGGCCCCCACACTACGGAGGAGCACGGCTTGCTGGCGAGAGCAAAATCATAAAATGGCTTTGAGCAAACGGTGTGCGACGGGGAGTGACAGAAGATGCAACAGTGTCGATGTGCGGCTTCTCTCAATAGCGCGCCACCGTACAAAACAGGCAAATGGAAAATCCATCACCGCTGGAGCGAGAAATAAATCCAATATGCACCGGCAAGTGCAGAAGCTTCCCATCAGGCCGAATATGCTGAAGACATGCTGATGGCACACGCCCACCGACCAGGGGTGGCTCCTCCTGATTTAATTGTGGCTGATGGGGGAGCGGGGGGAGAAGGGTCAAGGTGACCGTCGGAGGAGGACCTCCCTCTCTTTAGACTCAAACAGCCCCGGGCACCAGCAGACCTGTCAGGTTTTTATTTTTTTTTCTCTCTTCCTCCTTTTATGTCTGCCTATCACTTCGCTCCAGACCTGATAAGTGCTCTGCCACCTGCACCGAGGCAAAGATGGCTGCCGAAGGAGGGAGGGACGAGGGTGGAAGCGCCGGCCCCGGCGGCAGCGCAGGAACAGATGTTGGGCGGCTGGCACTTGGCAGAGGCTGAGAGCTCGCAAACGCTAATTACTGCACTAAACTGTTAGCTAAATATGTGTCTCCGTGTCACATTAGACTTTTAAGAGGTAGATTTATGGTCAGATGGAACTCTGTCTTCTTGATGGGGGGCTATTTAAAACTAATGGATGCAAACTAATGGATATGGATGCTGCAGTGCTATTTCTATATTAGTTTATCCGCTGGGTAATCATCATTGTTTGGCATCTTTGGCAGCGGATTGTCCATATGATCGTCCATGTAGGATGCTGGAAACTTTTTAAATCACTATATGCTCAACACTCAGCCAAACTTACCGACTTGACTTTTTAGACACCCTATATTTCCCTCCTCCTTTCCTCCACCTTATTTTCTGCCGCTGTGATTACTAAGCCTCCCCCTGGACATCATTACATTTTCATTTAATCAAGTCTGAATTAATGGCTGTCTATTAGTCAGGGGGAAGTGTGCTCAGGACCTAAGCTGCTGTCCTGTTGGTGTCAGAAGTCGTGCAGCGTTCAACACCTCAAGGGAATCTGGCACCAGTCCACACTTTACTATCTTTGAGGACACAGAGCTCATTATCAGCGGAGGCAGAGCTGCCTTACTGGCAACGGCGGCCTGTGTTTGCAGAGCTGGAGGAGTGTGACAAAATATCGCGGGCCACAGCGCCTCGGGGCCCCAAGTTATTATCAAAGCTGACAGAGCATCGTTGATGAGCCGCCTGTATCTGAATATGTACACAAGCTGCTGTTCCCCAAAAGGTGCTCTCGCTCGTAAGTGCACGGATACGCTCGGCGGCTGTTTACTGAGCACTTGAGTGAGAGGTAAAAGTGGAGATATCAGGTGGGAAACAGTCACAGTGCTGAGAGGAAGAGGAGGGTGTGGAAGATATAAGGACAGATGAAAGGGAGAGCTGAGGAGGGAGGAAACATGGCCAGTGCCTCAGGGCAGCTCCCATCTCCCTACTGGAGAGTGACCAAAGCACAGGCATGAATACACACAACACACACACACACACGTTTACTCAAACTGTGCCAGTTCGGCAGCTCTAATCAGAGCCGACATGCCTTTCATCCTCCTACTGTTGGAACACACACCGGATAGACAGCAAGTAAATCAGATTACTGGATATCATACTGTTACTGAACACATTCTGGACCGGGCGTCGGTTTGCTGGCACCGGAGCGCATGTACGCACATTATCTTAATATTTTCACTTGCCATTGTCAGTAAATCAACCCTATTTGCACAAGAGCTGCAGTCTACGATGGGGTTTACACAGTTGTCATGATTTCAGCCGCTTTTCCAATTTGGATTTGGTATCAAATCATCTCTTGTATTAGTCACCCCCGTAACCCGCTAATTCTCCGTCTCATTTTAGTCCCCGAAAACACAATAACCCATCCACAAGCCCTCTGGGATACACGAATACACACTCACTCTCACACACCCCCAGCCCTCTCAGCTGCAGTGCAGAGATAGACAGTCAGCCTCATAACTCTGCAGAGGGCCGAAATTGAAAATGCTGTAATTATGCTCTTCATGAAATTAGCCAGCCGCGGAAAAAAACACAATTGAGAAGCTGTCCATTCCGGAGATAAGGATTAATACTAATCAAGCCCACATGTTCTGACTGGAGAGCGGGAAACCTGGAGTGGTGTTTGCATACAGAGTGTGTGTGTGCGCGAGTGTGTGTCGGAGAGGGGACTTTTAATTAAAGACACACTTTCTCGACGGGGGTTTGGAGAGCGTTTTGTGCCTATGACTGTTGCAGAGCGGCGTGAGGTGATTTACTCGACCTCGCAGTTGCCGCCTCCGCCGCCACCTCCCGTTTCTCGTCTCCTCTCTGTTAATTACATTAAAGGCTCCTCTCGCAGAGTTAATGACATCCCACTGTCTTCTAACACAGTGAATACCCTCCCTCTGAGTGTGTAGGTGTGTGTGTGAGAGAGAGAGAGAGAGTGAGAGTGAGCGATGTCAGAGCGACGGCTGCAGGATTGAATGTGTCACTCAAACTCTCATGTCAAAGCAGCAATAGGTGGCTCAGAGGTGCTACGAGGAAAATCTGAAAACAGCTCAGCCACCGTTAGCAACAGCTCATCTGCAGAATAACAGACTCTAACCACGCGTGTAAAGTACAGTATAATGTACACTTGCATGACAAACTACTAGTCTTTTCATTTGCATCATACAGAACCGACAAAGACAATGAGGACGTGAGGACTTTTACTTTAGAACATCTGTTTGCTCAACACCAGAACTGAGCGAGGAGTCGAGCTGTGATTCATCTCCAGGCGTACTCCAGGGTTTTAGCCATAGACTGTATAAAAGATGGACGTAGCAACCGGCCCTGAAAAATGAAGCCAACCCGGAAGTGTCAAAAACCTGCAATATCACTACGTCCACTAGCTGCTGGCTCCCAAAGCCCTGGCTCCCATAGACTGGAACTGGAAAAGAAGTGATCACAGATCATGAAACACTGCATTCCTACAGCTCAGGATTTAGTTCTTATTAGTTTTCATGGTCAAGTCCAGAGATCAGGTGGCCAATCTGGAAATAAATCAATACTGAATTTTTAAAAAGTTGTCAACATTTTGCGGGGCAAGGGGCGTGGCTGGCTTGATTGACAGTCGGCAGCGACGATGCAGACGTAGTGAGCAGAAGGCGGTAAATGTGGGCGGGCAGAGAGGCCCCGCCTCTCAATCCGTCTGACCAATCGCTGCTCCTATGGCTCCGCCCCCCTCCCACAATTTTTGCATCATTGGCTCCAAAAATCCAAGACGTCAACCAGGAAGTAGCAAAACCCTGGCTTCATGTTCTCAGTGCAGAAACCAACGGGTGACGTCACGGCAGCTACGTCCAGCATTTATACAGTCT